GCATGCCTGGACTGCAAGGATAGCTCGACATTCACACATCAATATACATGGCCCATCACAGCAACAGAATGGGAGATAAAAATCAGTCTGAGCATCTCAATAGATGCAGGAAACCCATGGCAGAATTAAGCATCCTTTGATGACACGAACTTTTTTTTTTTTTAAAGAGAGAGTGAGAGAGTTGGAGAGAGAGAGAGAGAATTTTTAATATTTATTTTTTTAGTTCTCGGCGGATACAACATCTTTGTTTGTATGTGGTGCTGAGGATCGAACCCGGGCCGCACGCATGCCAGGCGAGCGCGCTACCGCTTGAGCCACATCCCCAGCCCATGGTGACACGAACTTTCAACAAATTAAGAAGACGTGCACCTCGACACAGTAAAGGCCTCAGCTTTGCACAGAGCGCTCTGGGACCAGCAAAGGAGAGGAGATGCTGGACTCTCTCCCCTCACCCCTGAAACAGGATGAGAACAGAGTTGGTTACAAGAAAACTTAAGCAGCCTTTCACCAGCCCACAGAGTGATCATTTTAAAATGTAACTCTTTAAACTCTCCTGCTTAAAATTCTTCAGTGCCTTCCCATTTTACCCAATACCCTCCTCCATCAACATATTGGGATAAGTGCAGATCGTTTTTTGGTATTTTTTGGTTTTCCTTCTTTCTGCACTGGGGTTTGACTCCAGGGGTGCTCTACCACTGAGCAACATTCCCAGCCATTTTTTATTTGAGACAAGAACTCGCTGAGTTTCCCAGACTGGCCTTAAACTTGAGATCCTCCTGCCTTCGTCTTCCAGGTAGCTGGGATGACAGGCGTGTGCCACCATGCTCAGCTAGGAACTGGGGTCTTCCTACGACGGGTGACAGGGAGAACTCACCAAGTTAACCTGGGGTCTCCCCATTCTTTCCCCTCAAAACCCTCCCATCCCTCCTCCAAGCTTGTTGGCATCACCAGAGGAACTCAATCCTGCAGGACAGGGCCTCCCCAGCCCCTCTCCGTTCCCACCTGAGAAGCCGAAACCTGGGTGCCCTCACCAACCGCAGCCCACCTGGGGCAGGGCAGGCGTGTGCAGCCATGAGCCCGTACTGTGCAAACACAAGGAATCAACAGCCCCAGGTGGGAACACAGCCCCAGAGATCCATGGCTTGGGCTGCAATCTTTATTGACCACTTGAAGCTGCTCTTATACGGAGCCTCAGCTTCTTGTAAAATGGTACAGAAGCACGACATGAGGGCTCTTTTGATAATTAAATGTGATGCCTAGCACACGATTAAGTGCTAAATAAATGTCAGCAGTTATTAGTATTAAAATCATAATTCTAGAAGCTAGTGCATAGCCTCTCTTCCCTCCCACATACAGGAAAATGAAGCACAGATAAAAGTAAGTGATAAAATCCAAGTCAGAAACAAACAGAACAATAACCCTAGTTTCTTCTGTTCTCCTAACTGTGATTGTGTAATAGCAATTATAGACTCAGTCAGGAAGTGGGAGATTGTTTCCACCACCCCTCCCCACCCCCTGTGTGTTCCTCCCACACTCTGGAACTTCCCACCTAGTCCAGGCCCCTCCTTCTCTCCTGGAGGAAAGGGAGTCTTTAGTGGTAGGGGTGTCTCCAGCAACTGAGACCTCAGGCACGTCCTGCAGCTTCCCAGTCACTACACATGGCCTGCAATGGGGTCTCTAAATGCTACCTCATCACTCACCCAGCCCCAGATGGCTTCTGTTCTTTCCCAACCCTCCACTGTCACTGGTTGTGTGTATTGCTGCGGGCGCCTGGTGGTAAGCTTGCTACCCCCAGCCCTACCTTCTCTCTCTCTCTCTCTCTCTCTCTCTCTCTCTCTCTCTCTCTCTGTGTGTGTGTGTGTGTGTGTGTGTGTGTGTGTGTGTGTGTGTTGTGGGGGTAACTGCAATTCTTAACCACTGAGCCACATCCCCAGCCCTTTTTGCATTTTATTTAGAGACAGGGTCACACTGAGTTGCTTAGGGCCTTGCTAAATTGCTGAAGCTGGCCTCAAATTTGTGATCCTCCTACCTCAGCCTCCCAAGTCGCTGGAATTACAAGTGGTTGCACTACACCCAGCAGCTCCACCCTTTTTAAGGCAGAGATGGAGCTGTTTCCCAGATCCTTCAGAGGCTCTCCAGCAGTTCCAGGCTGTCCTCTGCAGACGGGTTCCAGGCTTGCCCATCCCGTCCCCATAGACACCAAACCTGGGGATACTTGTCCCCCATATAAAATGGCATAGTACTTGCAGATAACCCATGTACATTCTCATATGTGTCTTAAATACTCTCCACACGACTTCTACCTCTGCAACGTAAATAAATGCTTCATATGTAGCTGCCACAATATTGTTCAGAGATAATGACAAAAATATCTGTACATGTTGAGTGCAGGCACAATTTTTTTTTTTTGAGTGAGAGTGAGAGAAAGAGAGAGTGAGAGAGAGAATTTTTTTAACATTTATTTTTTAGTTCTCGGCGGACACAACATCTTTGTATGTGGTGCTGAGGATCGAACCCGGGCCGCACGCATGCCAGGCGAGCGTGCTACCGCTTGAGCCACATCCCCAACCCAAGGCACAATTTTTTAAAAAAACATTTCTGGTCCAGTGTCACTTGTGAAGTCCCCTGATGCAGATGGCTGACTGTATATATTTTTTGCTCATATCAAGCTCCTGACACAGAATTACAGAATTCCCAAATCCCTTATAATTTCCTGAGTGATTAGGAAATGGAGTATATTTTATTATAAAATTTGGTTGTTGTACAGGGCTCCTAAAAGCCCTTGGAATTTCCAAAACTGGGAAAAGACACCTGGGAATGTCTCTGTTATCTTTAAGGAGCCCTCTGCACCACATCTGAATTTATGCTGACGAGGTAACTTCAGGCCCCTTGGCCTCAAGATGGGGCTGTCACCTGAAAACACAAGTGATGGAGGGCAGAGTCTGAACTTTCCACTTATCTCCAGGAAAGGGGGCCACACTAGAGAGCAAATGCAGGAGCACCCCGCCCAGGGGGGCTCTGGGAGGAGGCGAGCCTAGGAGGCAGGTCACCCCACCCTCTCTTCATCTGTATCTTCTATGACAATGTGAGAAACTCGCTTCTGCCCAAACCCAAAGGCCCGACTGAGGACAGCAAACAGGAGGCTTTACTGACAGTGAGCAGGCGCACCTGGGCTGTCTCATCAGCATTTTACCCCCTGGAGTGCAAGGTCCCTCCCCTCCTCCCTGGCTGAGTGAGACGGTGGTGCACAAGGTCACCGAGGTTGCACTGCCTCCTGTTGGATTATTGAAGGAACTTACCTTTAACTGTCCCACCCCCCTGTGTCCTCTGGGGACTCAGAAGGCCCTTCTGGGACGAGTGCATGTTGGCACCTCTGTTGCTCAGGCCCCTTCCCCTCACCTCCTGTCAAGGGGCTATTAACACGCAGGTGTTAGCCGTTGGCAACCATTAGTTCTATTTCCTCTTCTGCTGATTTTCTCACATCCTGAGTAATTTTACATTTAGGGATGAATATTGTGCTCTGAAAATGGATCACTGTACTTTCTATTTCTCACAACAACCTTTACAGTAAGTCAGAAAATGCAGATTAAGTCTTTCCCTGAGTTCTGTGAACTGCTCTGGCACATCAAGCAAACCAGAGAGGGTTCTGGGAACCCTGACTTTCAGCCGTTCTGTCAGAATCGGGGAGCAGGCACACCCAGGGTTACAACCTGGGACTTGAATTGGCATCTGAAGCCCTAAACCTGTGGGATCTGACACTATCTCAGGTGGAAAGTGTCAAAGGTGAATTGAATTATTGGTGTAAAAACAAAAGGGAAATTACAATGAAAGTCACATTGAAAGAGCTTTCAAAACAGAGTCAAAGGCTGTGAAGGGAGCAGGACTCACATGCCACCCTGGCTGCTGCTAGGAACCTGAGCTTTGGTCACCTCCACCTCTGATCCCAGAAACCACCGGACAATACATTGTGCCCAGAGACTCAACATGGATGCAGAGAGGTTGCTGGACATTTCCATTCTGCATACCTTCCTTTTCCTCACCTTTGCCCATCACATGGCCCCTGCCCTGTTCCAGCTGAACATCCAACAGCCGAGCTGTGCTTCTGCTCTCCCAGCCGTCTTTGGAGCACTTATTGACAGCTAGCTGAACCTGTGGCTTCCTGGTGCAACTCCTCAGGCCCCAGGGACAGCCCTTTTCCACGTTTGGATCGATGGGCACAGGACACCTAGCTGGCCTGTGCTGGGAACCGCTTAGTGTGTGGGGTGGGGATACCCACACGGCAGTCACAGAAGTGTGTGTTGAGAGAGACAGAAGTAGTTGGGTTTTTTTCTTTAAATCCAAAGAATCCATCTCTCCGCCTCTTCCTGAGGCCCAGAAAGCCCACACTGAATCTCTGTGGCACCCCTTCCCCAGCTGCGTCCCTCCCTCAGCTCATCTCCAGGCTCCTGGGTGATGCACTCCCACACAGCATCACCAGCTTGGACAGTGTCCACTTTATGTTTTGCCTAAAGCCCTTACTGCCCCCCACTGCTACTTATTTTTAAAATGGACATGTTTATTTCTTTCTCTCCCTGCTCCTCCCTAATCTCAGGGAGAACAGGATCACCTTTCTCCCCTCAGCTAGGTGACTGATCTGTCCTTGAGTACACAACTACCACAGGAAGGAAGTAATCCAGACCTTAGGGACGGTTCCACCAGATCTCAGAAATGACTTCCTCCCAATTAACAAGTGAATTTCGACTGCTACAGAGAACACCTGGAATGTGGCCTTTGAATCACTCTTTAAAAGCCCCCTGTTCCTGCCGAGGGGCAGAATCCCAGCCTCTGGGGGGGAGTCCCCTGGGCTTCTCCTTTGTTGGCAAAGCCATAAACCTCCTTTTTCCTTTTTCTCAGAACCATGTTCTCCCTCGTTATTGGGTTGGCATTGGGGACAAGGACTGACTGAGCTCTCCTTTGGGGCTCAAGCTAAAACTGTAGTCGTCACAGCCTTCATTGGTCCAGCTCCTCAACGTTTAGCCCCTTTCCTCCAGGAGTTTAGTCACCCTTGTGATTTTGTAAAATTAGTCAGTTTACCTAAGACTTGAGGGACCACCTCACCCAGGGTAGTTCTCCTCCATCTGGTGCCTCCATCCTCTTGCCCCCAGCTCCAGGCCTCTCTCAATCTGCTCCCCTGCCCTGCGCCGAATAGAGGAAACCGTAGGCCCAAATCCTCACCATGTCGCATGAGGCCCCGACTTCCTCATCAAGACTCCTAAAGCGCAAGAAATAAAATCAAGAATTAATAAATGGGGTGGACTCAACCTAAAAAGCTTCTTCTCAGCAAAAGAAACAATCAATGAGGAGAACAGAAAGCCTACATTTTGGGAGCAAATTTTTGCCACATGCACGTCAGATAGAGCAGTAATCTCCAGGATATATAAAGAACTCCAAAAACTTAACACCAAAAAAACCAAACAACCCAATCAACAAATGGGCTAAGGAGCTGAACAGACTATTCTCAGAAGAAGATACACTCAATCAACAAATATACGACCCACCACACTGTGGCCGAGATCCCCGCCCACCACACTGAGCCCAAGATCTGGAGGAGAGGCCAGTCCCTCACCCAGAGACACACAGTGGGCCACCCTGAGCTGGAGTTCCTTATTCACCAAAGTGTGGCTCCACAGCCAACATCAGGGTACATATAGGCTTGAGGCTGCCACCACCACAAAACGAGGATGTCGCCGCTTCTATCAAGGGACAACAATAAGGACCTGTTAAGACTCACCGAGGTCCCTGTGGGCCTGGCTGCCCCAGAGGTTTCTCTACTAGGGGTGCTAAGAGTTATCCTGCTGCTGAGGTGACAGGGGGTCTTGCATGGGGTTGCCTATCTCTTGTTTCTCCTACCAACAGCCAATTTCTTATGATTCCCCTCTCACTAGTCATATAATCTAATACCTCCATATTCTAACATTCTTCCTCATAAACAAACCAGCCAACCCTCTCAGAGCCCCCTTCCACCATCAGAAACTGCAAACCATTACACAGACCTATTGACTATAAGGTAGAAGATAACTGAACTCATCATTTCTGATTATAGTGACAAAACTGTAAATGTAAGAATAGAAGGTAATTGATGTATGGCTGCTCATTGGGTACACTGAGTGCTGTAATATTGATCTTTCCCTTAAAAGTGAGCTTTGTAACTTATAGGTGTTAGGTGCAGGACAAGCTGAGTAAGCTGTCTGCAGGTCATGCCAAACAAAGTTAGCTGCAGGATGACCTGGCCACTCAAACCCTCTGTCTGATTCTTTATCACCTGTTTGCTTCAAGCCCAAACGCCCAAGCCCCCGCTCAAGGCTGAACACATAGCCCGCCGCTCAAAGCCAAGCAGTTAACCCCCTTGTGTGCCAACAAGGCAGCTTGCAAACCCAGAGACCCTGTTAGATTTAGACAGCAAGCAGAAGGGCTATAAAAGCCTTCCCCTGCTGCCCCCCTCCCACTTCTTTCCTTCTTTCTTTTCTCTTTGTTGAACTGCTGCAATAAAGATCTCTTGGTTGCTCCGAGTGTTGTGGTCACTTTTCTTTCAATAGGGACCCTATAAGACAATAGGGCAGAAGCTGTAGTACCTCAGATCTACACTGAAAGAGAGGAAGACTCATAGACATCTTGAAAAAACAAGGAGGAAAGTTCTCCAAACAAACCAAGACACTACAACAAGAGAATCCATAGATAGCACAGTAGGTGAAAGGTCAGAGAAGGAGTTTAGAACATGCAAAACTAAAATGATTTGGGAACTAAAGAACGACCTAAGAGAGCAGATACAGGCAAAAAACGATCACTCCAACAAACAGATAAGAGAACAAATATAGGTTGTAAGACATTACTTCAAGAAAGAAGTAGAGATACTGAAACAAACAAACAAACAAACAAACAGAAATCCTTGAAATGAAAGAAATAGAAAGCTGTTGTGGGCCACAACCAAGTCAAGATGGCGCCTGGCAGTTTGCCAGGAGAAGTGGTTTGTGAGGCAACACCACCAAGCCATTAAGATGATGGAGATTCCTTATTGGCTGATTGCTGTATCTAGATGATGCTAATTGAGTCAAGTTGTGTGTAACCAGTTAGGTATATATACCTCTGCTGTCCTGCAATAAAGCGGCTCTTGCTACCTTGAGTGCCCGCTCAGTTCCCACTGAGTTTCCCTGCAATAAAGCAGTTCCCGCTTCAACCTTCAAGTTACTTGTCACCTCCCAGTTATTTTGCCCAGCTGGACTGCGACAGAAAGCCAATTTAAAAACTCAATACATAGCATTACCAACAGACTAGATCATCTGGAAGTCAGGACCTCAGACAATGAAGACAAAATATACACTCTTTAAAATAAAGTTGACCTCACAGTGAAGATAGTAAGAAACCATGAATAGAATATCCAAGAATTATGGGATACCATCAAAAGACCAAATTTAAGATTTATTGGGATAGAGGAAGGTTCAGAGATTCAAATCAAAGAATGCACAATCTCTTCAATGAAATAATAGCAGAACATTTCCCAAGCACAAAGAATGACCTGGAAAATCAAATACAAGAGGCCTATAGGACACCAAATGTACAAAATTATAACAGATCTACATCAAGATGCATTATAATGAAATTGCCTAGCATTCAGAATAAGGATAGAATTTTAAAGGCCACAAGAGAGAAAAATCAGGTTACTTATAAGGGAAGACCAGTTCGGATCTCAGCACATTTTTCAACCCACACTCTCAAAGCTAGGAGATCCTGGAACAACATACCACACTCTAAAAGATAATGGATGCCAACCAAGAATCTTTTTTTTTAATATTTATTTTTTAGTTCTCGGCGGACACAACATCTTTGTTGGTATGTGATGCTGAGGATCAAACCCGGGCCGCACACATGCCAGGCGAGCACGCTACCGCTTGAGCCACATCCCCAGCCCCCCAACCAAGAATCTTAAATCCAGCAAAATTAAGCTTCAAATTTGATGATGAAATAAAAACCTTCCATGACAAATTAAAAACTAAAAGAATTTACAGCAAGAAAGCCTGCACTATAGAATATTGGAAAATATTCCAAACAGGAAATGAAAAACAATGAAAATCTGCAAAGGGAAGAACTACAATAAAGGAAAAGTCAACCAAAGGAGAACCAAGTCAAGCTAAATAACAAAAATGAACAAAATGACCATGCAATTCATGTCAAAAGACCAAATGTCTCTTTCAACCCTTTTGGATAAATTTTTACACACAAAAATTTTAACTACAATATCATCTAATTTTTCAGGTTTTTGTTTATTTGGGGGTTTTTGTTGTTGTTGTTGTTGTTGTTGTTTTCCATTTCTCTTCACAAAGTTACACAAATATTTTCTTTAAAAGTTTTAGCACTTATATTTTAATATATATAATTAATCTGGTATGTGTTTATACAATGCCTGTGATATGAGATGAGGTATATTTTACTCTCTTATAATTAAAAAGCCATTATCCAAGATTCAAGGATAAAAAAAAAAAGATCAATCAGAGTAAAAATTGTTTAATAAGGTATTCATAAAGGTAAGGGCAAGGATGAGGGAAACTAAGGAATTTTGTGAAGCACCTTTCCTTCACAAAATTGGAGAGGTAGGAGGTGAAAGAAGAGAGAACTATTATGAAAACCTTATAGGAGAAGGTGACCTAACTGAAGTTATTCCCACCAAAACATACAGAAACCAACTCACAGTCTAATAGAGTCTTATAGGGAGGAATAAAACACCTCGCTCTACTCTTTTATATTCTAAGTTCATCTCTTTGGAGTTGTGATGGAATTCAACAAGGAACCACATAACAAGGGGACTTATCATTCAGCCTGCAACATATGTCTCACCAAAAGGTGAAAGATGGAGAAAGAAGCCAATATGGCAGCCACTGGTTACATGAGGCACTGAGTATTTGAAATGTGTCTAGTCTGAATGGAGGTGCCCTATGTGTTAAATAGACATTAGATTCCAAAGAATTACTAGGTAGGATAAAGAAAATGAATATGAAATATCTACTAACAATTATTTTCTTTGCAAATTATGTTGGTAATCCATTGGGTTAAGTAAAAATATATCAAAAATAATTTGTTTTAAAAAAAGAAGTAAAGGAGATCAAGGTAACATTCTGTATCTTCACTGTAGTACTATATATCTATATTTATATGTTATCATTTTTAATATTTGCATTATCAAAATTCATATAACTATAAAACTAAATAGGACAAATTCTACCATATATAAATTCTATCTCAACAAACATGACTTTAAAAAGAAATCTAGTTCATGAAGTGTTTTAACAGTAGAGGGCACATACTAACCACCTGACAAATAATGGCTATTATTATGATTCATTAAAACAACTAGCAACCAGCTGTTTCATAGTCAGGTAGGGAGGAGGAGCATGGGAGGAACAGACAACTCTAGATGGGGCAAAGTGGTGTGTGGAGAAGGGAGGGAGTATGGGGTTAGAAATGATGGTGGAATGTGATGAACATCATTTTCCAAAGTACATATATGAAGACACAAATGGTGTGAATACACTTTGTATATAATCAGAGATATGAAAAATTGTGCTCTATATATGTAATATGAATTGTAATTGTCATACATAACAAATCAGAATAAAAAATAAAGAAAAAATGCTCAACATCTCTAGTAATTAGAGAAATGCAAATCAAAATTACTCTAAGATTTCATCTCACCCTAGTCAGAATGGCAACTATTAAGAATACAAGCAACAATAAGTGTTGGCAAGGATGTAGGGGGAAGGGACGCTCAGACATTGCTGGTGGCGCTACAAATTGGTGCAACCAATCTGGAAAGCAGTATGGAGATTCCTGAGAAGGAATGGAACCACTATTTGACCCAGCTATCCCATCCTCTGTCTATACCCAAAGGGCTTAAAAACAGCATACTATAGTAACACAGCCACATCAATGTTCGTAGCAGCTCAATTCACAATAGCTAAACTGTGGAACCAACCTAGATGCTCTTCAACAGATGAATGGATAAAGAAACTGTGGTATATAAACACAATGGAATATTATGCAACATTAAAAGAGAATAAAATTATGGCGTTTGCAGGTAAATGGATGGAGTTGGAAATATCAGGCTAAGTGAAGTAAGCCAATCCCAAAAAAACAAAGGCTGAATGTTCTCTCTGATAAGTGAATGCTGATTCATAACAAGGTGGGGAGAGGCATGGGAAAAATGGAGGAACTTTGATTAGG